AAGTCATTTGCATAAAACGTGTGCGTCTGTTTTTCAGGTACCTGATAATGCAGTAATGGCCTTGGTTCCCAAGCAAGTTACAGCCTACAATTCTGTAAACAACTCCACTGTGTCTCGAACTTCTGCAAGTAAATATGGTAAGCCTACATGTTTCTGTACATCCTCAAGTTTCAGTAGTAACTGTGTCAGAAAGCCAACTTGCCAACAGACCTAAGACCAGGCATACTGGTACAAACTACATGTATGTCTTTCAAAATACTCACAACATAGTCAAATACTGTTATTATTTCATATTAATATTAAATATTCAATAAAGAAGGACATCATTTCAACAATGCTATTGGACTTCTCGTCAGGTACAGAAGGTTTAGGTGAATTAAAGTGTCATGTAAAAATTTCATATGTAAGAATCTGTGTCAACAGTGTGTAACAGTAGGATAATGTTAGCTTACAAACTGATATACAGGTAGGAGCAGCGGATGCTCCTACCTGAGAGTGGAGATCTGGTGATGTGCATCCACAGGACCCTGCATGACACTGACAGACTTAGAAAGACAAGACACAATTTAGAGTAGTTGAAAGGATTTCTAAAACATAACAAGAGACCAAATTGACTTTTTTCTTCTGTTGTTCTGGCCTCTTGAGACTCCAAAGTACTTCCATGCGGCACTGTTTTTTCCGCCTGTCCGTCTGCTCCACGTCTCCTTGAACCTGAGAAACCATCAAGTTAGTCGCTGATCAAAGGGCCAGCCTCAATGACCACAAACACTTCAGACACATCAAATGTGGTGCCACATTATTAGCATTGCCTCATCTCCATACAGTGTCACCTCGTTTCTCTGCTTCCAAATTAGACTAGATAGGACAAGGTGAGTGCCGCAACAGAAAAGGGAGGGAGGGTGCCAGGAATATCTCCCTCAACAATTTTTTCAAGGGATTTACTTCAAACACAAGCGTGATCCACTTCACAACTGGCGTGGTACTTGAGAGTGACTTTGAACTCTTTTCGAGTAAAATGGCCAAATAGTAAAGAAAGAGACTAGGCTGTAATATAGCTGCTGAAGGGGAGAGTTTAGCAGGAAAGAAAGTTGTGGAAAAAGTACAAAGATTAGACAAATACTGTGTAACATGTTGAGTCAGACAATGAAAGGAGAAAGCTTTGTGTCTTTGATGTAATGTTTCCGTCAAAACCAAAAGGAGGAGAGGAAAAAAAGAAAGCAACAAAAAAAAACCATCTCCTTTGTGTGGAGCTGGATCAGAATAGAATCCAACCAGAAATCTGTCTCCTGTGTATCACTGACTCTGCATCAACCTCAGCTTTCTAACTTCTTGAATAAATAATTAACACAAAATGACTACTACTATTCATTCTCCTGGCTCAAATCCTCTTGCCCCCACACAACATTCAAAGCAGCACAATCAGTGTCGCTCTTATACTTGTCCAGCGTCCCTGACAAAATAGAAGTAATACCAGCCCTGTAAATTTTGCTCACTGAAGTACCCTATAGGAGATACAAACATTTTCAGTTGATCCCACTGTAATTAAATTTGAGCAATCGACACACACACACACACACATTCTCTGTATCTGATGTCTCCAGCTGTCTCTTTTTCCCTGAACTCTCTCCTCCCGCTTTTCTCTCTGGACAGATTGATTTCTGCCATGGTGAAAAACACTTTTTTTTTTTTCAATCCTCTCTCTAAACCGCACCCACTGATCAATTTTTTTTCACACTGTGTAAACATTCATTGAGCCATGTGTTTGGAAATGTCATCGCGACTCCGGCCATTGGGTGGGCCATACATATTTCATCTCGTCTGACACCTGTTCGATTTTGTGTCAGCCAGCGATACCATTTCTTGTCCCTTGGAGAAGAAGCCATGAAAAATTAACCATGCACACTTTCTAAAAGTTTCATATCCAATCTCCCAGACCTGTAAATTGGAAGGCACAAGCCAGAAAACTGTAATCTGTAGCTGACATGCAGGTTATGGCTTTCCTTGGCTGTTTGGTGAAGCAACAGGCTTGTAATTTTGTGTTGTTTTTTTCATTTGTTTCTTTGTTTGTGCTGCCTTTTTGTTAGCTTTTTTTTCTTCATGTTTACCTCAAACTCTGCTCTGATTAAGGCTTGTCTTGTTTCTTCTCGGTGTGTATTACACAGGCAGCAAAAACTCAAAGAAAATCTGCTTTTTATTTTCAGGTGTACATAAATGATATATACACATATATATTATAGTAAAAAGTGACAAACCAATTGAAGTTTAACTTATGCTAGAAGACAAAAACAATGATTCTGAGTTTTCTGACCTACATTTTTTTTACATTAATAATATCAGTACTACATGAACTAACACATGTTGTTATTCACAGAGAACATGATCAAGTACACTGGAAGCCCCGACAGCCTGCGTTCCCGCACTCCTATGATCACACCTGACCTGGAGAGCGGGGTCAAGGTTTGGCACCTGGTGAAGAACCATGAGCACGGAGACCAGAAGGAGGGTGACCGCGGCAGCAAGATGGTCTCTGAGATCTACCTGACACGACTTCTGGCTACCAAGGTAAGCCATCTGTGTTTTACAAAATCTTATATTTGTATGTTTATTTATTGCTAGTTGGCTCATGATATCTAGTCATGTAATTTATTCATCATGCTAAGTTTATTTGGACGTGTAACGTTTTGCAGGGCATATTAAGGCAAAAAGGAGTTTAAATCTCTGTCCCAACAGGTACATTTTTAACCACTTTATTTGAAAATGTTTCTTTTTCTTGAAGCAGTTCAGAAGGTGAAAGGTTAAAAGGTCACAATCACCTTCACCCTGTGTTACATGACTCACTTTATTAATAAAATATCATTGGTACTTTGGATGAGTCATCTCAGGTGGAAAAGATTATTCAAATGTATTCCTCTATCCCCTCAGGTGAGAAAGAGAAAATAGATATTATTTGTTTTCTCTTTTCATTGCTGGTGCGTTGATGCAGCAGCATATCAAAAAGGGTAAAGAAGAAAAGACCCATGAAGCTAGTGAAGGTGTTTCTGTAATGAAAAAAAATGATCAGGCAAAAATAGATATGGCTATAAAATGAATATCTTTGAATATGCCTCCCGACAATGGCCTCCAGGAAGAAAAAAAAAAACCCGCTAATTTGTTGACGGGAAATGTGACTTTGCATCCAACAGCCTGAATGCCCAGAATTCCGAGAGAGTCCACTGCGAATTCGCCACCTCCTCCCTCTTTTTTGTCATCACAAGACTCCACTTCTTTACATCAGACGCAGGACAGAAGGCGTACAGTGAAGGGTAAAAGAAAGGCCTCACGACTGACAAATGTCAGGGCGTTAATTTGTGATTTCAGGCAACATTTTTTTTTTTTTTTTTTTTTTTTCTTTTTTATCACTTTGCTTTAGCAGCGTACACAAAGAGGAACACTCCCTCTAGTTCTGCTGTATCGTGAATGTAAATACAGTTAGCAGAGTCTACAGGACGAGGCGCCTCACAGACGAAAAGAAGAAAGTAGGAGAATAAACTCATCCATCTCCCTGAATTGTTCCCGCATGAATTAGCAGACCACATGAACACATAGGGCCACATAGGTTCACAAGCAAGCGACTAAAGTCAGTTACGTACAAGCATATCCTATCCATTCCCCTTCTTAAGGTCTAAGTAGCCTAGCATATCTATATGCCAATAATGCTAGCCTTAGCCACCAAACTTAAATATACTATGTGAGTTCTTGACCCAGGAAAGTTTATTGCCCATCACCAGACCAGAGTAACATTATTGCTGTGAGAACTCCAGACCTAATTATCCAGCAACCTACAGAATCTCCCCACTCTCGAGATACTGTATAAAGTAAGGAATATATAGTTGTCGTTCATTAGTCTTAGCCCTTTTGAATACATATGATCTATCAACCACCTTTTTAAGGTATCCCACATATAGCATGCTTATTAGGTTTTTCGTAAATTCCTGTGTATGAAAACCATGAAAATGTGTTCCCATGTAGCCATTACCACTTAATTTAACCCACCTTGCGTCTTCCTTTTAGAAAAATACTGTCTAGTGATCAGCACAAATACTTTATCTTTGAAAATTTACGAGTCTAAGTGTTAAGAAACTAAGTAGTATTCATGTATACTCACCAGACATCACTTTCCTCTGTTTATAGTCTCCTGGACTAGGCCGCGCCTAAAATGTTATATATGGATCCATGAGGTGCGAGGTCTTCATGACTGTATGGACCAACAAAAAAGTGTGCAGATGAGCCAAAATCAGTATCAATTAAAGCAGATTAACTGAGCCATATACAACTAGTGCTTTTATATATTATGTATCGGTATGACAGTATCTGCTGAAACAGGACATATGGAGGCCACTATGTATGTATTATATATTCTTAATAAACAAACACACTAGCTGCATTAAGGCTAATCAAGTTGATGTTCTCTGTAACCTTTGTGCGTGGATTGATATGAGCGTGTGGATGCTTTTCTTCATTGGAGTTTATACAGTGGAAGTATTCTGCGAGCTCCACACGTCAGTTTAGTGTGCATGAATGGGTGCTTTTCGTCTCATATATCCTTTCCAGTAATAAAAAACAAATGA